CCGGTCCGCGGACCGGGGGTTGGGGACCACTGGACTAGAAGACCTCCAAGGTCCCTTCCAACTCTGCTATTGTATTGTATTGAACTGGCCATGCCCACCTGATCACGTCCCCTCCTGCCACCCCCTCCCCCGCGATGAAGCAGCCCTCAATGAATGTTTGACACACCTGTTCTACTAGATGCTACTGTATGCCTGTTCTTGTGGATGCTGGGATAGATAGGAAAACCGGGAGGGAGGGAGCGGGAGGAGAGATCAAAGTTACAGGAACTCGAAAGGAATCAAGGTTTTGTGCGGAATACTTTAAAACCACTCAATTTGTGAGACAATTGCTTGACTGTTTTCTTTTTAAAGCACGTTAGAAACCCAAAACTGGCTGTCAAGGGAAGCTGGCAAAAAATGATGCTTTTGCTGAAAACAGACCTCTTTTGTTTTCAGTATTTAAGAAGAACAAAACTCTGGGTCTGCCACAAAGCTGCTTGCCCTGCACCCACCCTTTTAATAGGGTTTATACTCACACCGTAACCTCTTACCTACGTCCGTGTTATAACTACCTGTTTTTTTCCTCAGCAACGCCAAAGTGGACCAATCGGGCAAGGTTTTCTGTTGCCGCAGCACGGCGTTGATAACCTTCTGCCGCATTTCACCGATGAAATCACGCCCCGGGAATATTGCCTTGAGATCCAGCAGTTTTTCTAAGTCCTGAGCAAGTTCCTTGGCCAGATGTGTGCGCTTCCTCAGCTCTACGCCCTCTGCGGGAGGTGGGGGGACGTTTTCCTTGTCGTTCGCAGGCACTGTTGTGTTGCTTTGGAAAGCTTCCTCCCCTGTGGCCTGTTGGTCGAACGTCGCAGCAGGAGATGCCAATGAGGGCTTGTAGCCAGCATCCTCTTCCTGCACAACAGGGTGGTGTTCTCTGACTGATACAGGGGTGGCATGAGAATCCCCGGGCACTGGGTTCAAATCCTTTTTTAAAGTGCATTCACCTTGCTCCCTCGGAACAGATTTCTGGTTTGTATCAGGAGAGCTACAGGACTGCATCTCTATTCCCAGTAGCCCTCCGCTGGCTTTCTGGATAGGAGTCACATCCATGGCGTCATGTTCAGCCTTGGGACTTAGTAATCTCTCAATGTCGGCGGACTTCACCTCTCGGTTAAAGATGCCCAGATGCTGTGTCAATCTGTTCTGGGTTATGATCACGGGTTGGGCAACATGGCTCCCTTTGACGGGGGTTGATTTAGCACAGTTGCTTAGCTGGGAGCTCCAGAAAGGGGGCAGCATCTTCTTCAGGCCCCTGCAGTTGGGTCTCTGTTCTGGAATTTTGCCCATAACTTTCTGGCCAAATTTGATGTAGTCGCGTTCCCGTCGCGTTCGACGACGTTTGACCCTGACGGATTTTTGTTCAGCATTTTCTTCGGACAGGGGTACCTTCAACGGATGGGATGGAGGGAAACGAGACGATGCTTGCTCTTCTCCCTTGTCACGAAGATTCATATTGAAAGTAACACCTAGATGGAAGCAAAGATAGAATAAAAACTTCTCATTTTTCTCCCTTGAGAAAAGTTCACCAGATTTATTTTTAGACTGTCTTTGTTTTTACAAAAAATTAACTCAAAGCAGCAAACGTACCTAATACTCTTTCCTCTCCTTATTATCCCCCTCAACAACAATCCTGTAAGGTGGGCTGGGAGAAAGTGACTAGCCCAAGGTCTTTCATGCCTAAGGCAGGACTAGAACTCACCATCTCCTGGTGATTGGTATAAAGTTACCCAGCAAGCTTTTATGTCTGCAGAGCTAGAGATCATCATCTCCTGGTTCTTAGCCGTCCCTATATCAGGTGTGCCCAACCTGCGGTTTGCGTGCTACATATAACCCTGACAGCTAATAAAGCAGCCCAACAAGATTTAATAAAAATATAAAATATATAAAGGTTTGTTATTTATATATATATTAATCATATTACAGGTCGTCCTCAACCTACGACCACGATTGAGCCAAAAATTCATGTGGCTATGTAAGAAATTTGTTAAGTCAGTTTTGCCCCATTTTACTTTTCTTGCCACATTTCTTAAGTAAATCATGCAGTTGTTAAATTAATAACACAGTTGTTAAATAAATCTAGCTTTCCTATTGACTTTGCTAGTTAGTTAGAAGGTCGCAAAAGGACACTGCAACCGACATAAGTATGAACCAGTTGTAAAGCATTCGAATGTAAATCACATGACCATGGGTATGCTGCAATGGTCATAAGTATTATAAATGGTCATAAATCCCTTTTTTAATGCCTTGTAACTTTGAGCAGTCACTAAATGAATGTTGTAAGTTGAGGACTCCCTGTATATATTTTTATATGTTGCCCAGGACAATTCCTCTTCATTCAGGGTGGCTCAAGCAAGCCAAAAGGTTAGACACCCGTGCCATATATAATTTTTCTTCTTCTGTTTAATAATGGCCAATTCTCGGAAACTGCTTGGATAAGTCCCTGCAGTTTTCTTGGCAAGGTTTATGAGATACAATTCTGGAAGACTGATTTCTACCAAAATGAATTCGCTAAACATTAAAAGTTCTGCTTTGCTAGTTTTTATTCATAAATCAAATCTGG